TACTCCGGTGGACCAGGATCCAGATCCGGAGAGCCCAGGGACCGGATTTGTTCACGTTGCATCCTATCACCAAGCAAGCATGTTATTGGCCGCTGGCCTACAGTCTCCACTCCAGAGATCTTACGTCAGTACCAGCAACATTAGTAAAGCATCTTCCAACACCTTGCTAGAATTTAATTTGCCTGTCCGGTTCCCATCACTGAGATGGGGGAGGGGGATGCTGAAAGTTCCCTTCCCTTGATGAGGTCCATGGGACATGCCTGGGGGAGCAGGACTGTCCTGAAATAGCCCCCATTCTATGGAATAATCTCCCTCCAGAAATATGTACAGGATCTGGCAAGGCAAAGTATTGTATATAGGGAGCAAACCTCATACTTGCACTGATAATGTTACCTAGTTGGGTAAGAAAACCAAGCAACTAAGACTCCATAGAGCCAGGTACATAGAAGATGCAATATCAACAAGTCTTGGGTCTCAGTTTAGGTTCTGCTGTGTGCTGTCCTCCAGCTTGGCCCCTTCTCTTACCTGTAGGCAATGAGTAGACCCTCATGCTTCTTGACCAAATTCTGCATGCGTTTCTTGTAGCCTCGAGCAGCTCTAGCTAGCTGTTCCTCCCGAGATTTATAGGAAGCCCGGATGTCTTTCAGCATGCTGTCCACAAAATGCTTCATTTGAGCGGGTTCCTTTGTAGCAGCTGACGATTTACTATCCGTGTACTCCTTGAAATACAAATACATTTGGTGAGACTACAGAATGGGGCACCCTAGCACTAACTGCTTAGTGCTCTCTGCTCAGTTCATTCATTCATTCATTCATTCATTCATTCATTCATTCATTCAATTTTTATCCCACCTCCCAACAAAAGTGCGTATAGTCAAGGCCATGGTTTTCCCAGTTGCAATGTATGGATGTGAAAGTTGGATATAAGAAAGACTGAGCGACAAAGAATTGAGGTCTTTGAACTATGGTGCTGGAGAAGACTCCTGCGAGTCCCCTGGACTGCAAGGCGATCCAACCGGTCAGTCCTAGAGGAGATCAACCCTGACTACTCTTTAGAAGGCCAGATCCTGAAGTTGAAACTCAAGTAGTTTGGCCACCTAATGAGAAGGAAGGACTCACTGGAGAAGGGCCTAATGCTGGGAAAGATTGAGGGCAATAGAAGAAGGGGACGACAGAGAATGAGGTGGCTGGATGGAGTCACTGAAGCAGTAGGCATGAACTTAAATGGACTCCAGAAGATGGTAGAGGACAGGAAGACCTGGAGGAACGTTGTCCATGGGGTCGCGATGGGTCAGACACGACTTCGCAATTAACAACAACAAAATTATTTTGCAAGTAACTCAAGGCAGACAATATATCTAATACTTGTTCCTCCTGTTTTTCCCAAAACAACCTTGTGAGGTAGGTTGGACTGCAAGACGGACTGGCTCAAAGTCACTCAGCTAGTTTTCAGGCCTAAGGCAGGACTAGAACTCACTGTCTCCCAGTGACTGGCCCAAAGTCACCCAGCAGGCTTTCAGACCATAAGATGGAACTAGAACTCACCGTCTCCTGGTGATTGGCCCAAAGGTACCTAGCCAGCTTTTAGGCCTAAGGTAGAACCGGAATTCACCATCTCCTGGTGATTGATCCAAAGTCACCCAGTTTAGCTTTCATGGCTAAGGCGGGACTAGAACTCCCATCTTTGGTGATTGGCCTGAAGTCACCCAGCCACCCATGCCTAAAATGGGATTAGAACTCACAACCTCCTGGTTTCTAGGCCATTACATCGAACTGATTTCTAATTCTCACCACCCTCCCTGCAGTCTAATTTGTGCCTTTGCGGCTTGGCTTTCAAAACACGATGAACAGGCGCAAAATGGGGATAGTTACCTACTGGTTCCATAACACCCAAATGTGGGTGTTTTCTTTTGACTCTGACAATGTTTGCGTTGCTGTAAATTCGGGTTGCTTTAATGGGGGTGAAGCAAGTTTAAGAGAGGCATCTAGATCAACCGCCAGTGAGAAAATGCTTACCGCCAGATCTGTGATATACTGAACAAGACGCGAGCGGTATTCCTCGTTCAGCTCTTTGAGCTGTAACTGTAGCCTGGAATTTTCGGATTCAACCTCTTGAAGCTGGCCTTGAGAGGACAGCAATATCTGTAGCCCAAGGAGAGAAAAATGTACAGGTAGTCCTCAGCTTAATGACCAAAATTGGAACTTGCTTTAAGGAAATGGAGACTGGTGCATCCACATTCCCAAGCGCCCATATGTCTTTGATTCTGGAGTGCTGGAATACTCTTTGTTAGATGGAGAAAATAATAAAGATGGAATGAAAATTTTTTAAAAAACGGAAGAAGGAATGGAACGGAGTGTCTTGAAAAAAGAGCTCGGGGCACTGGCTCAACATATATATTTTAAGCCCTGCTTGTCTCAGCTAAAGGCCATTGATGGGTTTGTTTTCCTCCAAGGGCTGACATGTTTTTCTAAAGAGCAACAGAGCTTGACAGCTATCAATCTGGGTGCTCTAACAAGAGATAAAATGAAGAAAAGCTCCTGCATAGAATTATTTCTTTTTGTTCATTCTAGAGCAAGGGGTCTCCAAACTTGGCATCTTGAAGACTTGTGGACTTCAACTCCCAGAATTGCTGGCTGGCTGAGGAATTCTGGGAGTTGAAGTCCACAAGTCTTCAAGTTTGGAGATCCTTTGCTCTGAAGCTATTATAGATTGAAAGTCATTGATGGATCTCTAATTCTAGTAATGGGTGATGAAGCCAATTTCTCTTTCTTCCTTCCTGTAGTCCAGGCAAAAAGCACAACCACGAGTACTAGCGCTATCTTTATGGTACGGTTGCATTAACAGTACCCTTCTCTTCCTTCTCTTTTACTCTCTGGAAAACCAGGGAGGGGCCCTTTTGAAATGTCCTCCACCTTCTCTGGGCTGAGATACCTTTTACATGGGGTTTTTCCAGTCTCTGACTCCCTCTCCTGTATCCCAAGGCCATTCCCACACACCATTACCCATCCTTGCTTTGGATTTTGCCTACGAAGCAGAGCTGAGTGATTCTCACCACCGACTCTTCTGCCAGTTTATGCTGGGTGTTCCGAATTGCTTTCTTGGCTTCCTGCAATTCTTTGCCCATGGTGATCCTGAAGACACAGAAAACAACACAAATATTGCCGTTTGCCCTTTATTGTGGGTGAGTTGGCCAGAAGCTCTGTTTAATGCTTTTGAGCAGATACAGGGGATAGAGAAATTACGCAAAATTAATGAGGCCTCTCTCTTTTTTGGCACTTGCCATTCTCTGGAGGCAGGGCTGTATTTCCTTGTGTCAATCTCATTTTATTCTTAAACTGAAACAACAATGTATTTCATTCCTCCAAATGTCAGGATACCAAGGTTTGGTGTCTGGGAAGCTCTGGGTTGTGCCAAAATAGGAATCATATCAGATCCTGAGAACACAGGTGCTACATTCTTGTCCCAAAGATGCTTTTTCAAACGGCAACTGGACTTTGTTTTTCCTTGAGGACGTTTCACTTCTCATCCAAGAAGCTTCTTCTGAAGTCAGAACTAAAAAAGCTTCTGGGATGACTATTGAAATGTTTTCAAAGGAAAAAAAAAACCCAAGGAAGTCCTATCGCCTTTTGAAAAAGCACCTTTGGGACAACCATGCCCTGGATGACTGAGAATCTCCATAGACAGGTGCTATGCTCTTGTTTCACATGATCTTGGTGAGAAGGACCACATCTGGCTCATTCTGGTTCCTTCTTGTTTCCTGTGCAGTATGTTTTTAACCAGATCAATGGATGGGCAGGAATGATATGGCTGCCATCCACGTGAAAATGTGAATCTGCTCCTTCGTTTTTCAAGGGTTTGGAATAAGAGATGTCCAGTGATCATGACTCAAAGCCAATCTCCTCTGCCTTGGACCCCACGTTTGAAACCTGCAGCCAGATGAGCAGATCTCCACATTGTGTAGCCAACGGTTGAGCTTTCTCTTGCCTAGTGATCACATCTCCCCACCTTCGACATTCAGGAGAGGTTGGCAGGAAAAGGATATTAACTGAAGTATTTGAGAGATGGACTTCCAGGAAGAACAGCTGTCCAATCTCAATCCATAACTCTAGGAAAAAGCTGGAATAACTTCTCTCAATTCCATCTCTAGGGCTGCTCTCCTTGGTCTTGAACTCAAGTTCTCTTGCTTGCTTTTTCTTGTATTGCTGACTCTTTTTATGGTTCTTTTTTTTATTAAAAGTTTTAAATAATTTTCCATACAATATCCCACTTCTCTCCCCCCCCTTCACTTCCCAGAGCTGGTTACAGGGTTATAAAAACAGAATCATAAATTAAATAACATTACCCAGATATACTACAGTCAAGTCTCATCCACACATACTTTAACTCTACAAAATAGATAGATCTTAACACTTTTCCAGCAAAATAATAATATAATTAAACATTATTACTAAAAATAATATAAATTCATCCATAATAAACTATTAATAATATTCTAAAATTTACTCATAAGCTAAGTAATACTTTTCAATCTCGTATTTTTTCTGAATATAATCAATCCATCTTCTCCAAACCAAATATATATTTTCCTTGAGATTGATCCTTCAAATAAGCGGAAATTTTTGCCATTCCTGCTAAATTAGACACCTTAATTCTCCATTCTTCCATAGTAGGCAAAGAATTTTTCTTCCAATGTTGCGCTACCAGTAATCTTGCAGCTGTTATAAGATTCAACATCAAATTCATTTCTTTAGCATCCAAATCTTCCATAATACCTAGCAAAAATAATATTTTTATGGTTCTTTTGAACTGATACCTCCTCCTCCTTCATCATCACTCCCTCCTCCTCCTCCTCCTCCTCCTCCTCAAGTTGGGTGAAGCATTTGAGATGTCTACCTATATTTTCCTGCTTTCTTAAGAGACCACGTAAAAAGAAGGGGATGACGTATAATGATTAAAAATGAGGAAGAGGTCACAGAATTATAACAAATATCATCTTGTCAATCCTGGGACAGAAAGAGAAGACTCTGGATATGCTAAGATAATGCAGCACAAAGAAAATTCCTTTAGCTACAGGAATTTGATTTGATCATGTCAGCAAGTTTCCAGTCTTTGAATTTCTTAAAATACTTTGAAACGTTGTGGTCCAATATCTGTTAAAGGATGAAGAAGAAACTTATGACAGAGCTCTCCAGGCATCTACCTTGGACAACGGTTTCCACTGTTTATCTTAAAGAAAACAATTGGACAGTTCAATGTTAGAATGCCATAAAAATCTGAAAGGCACAGGGTGCCCAGTTGCATTAATAGGACTTACGTATGTAGAGGTCTTACTCACATTCTCTCCTCCAATTTCTGTTGCTGGGAATTGTACATTTCTCTCATTTTTTCCATCTCTTCCGTGATGTGACCTTGGTTTCTGAGCAACTGTTGGAGAGGAAAACAGCAATCACTCAGACAGAGCTATGCCTCTTCGTCACTGTTCTTCCTGAATATTTTTCTGTCTGATTAATTTAGAGTATAATAGCAATAGCACTTAGATTTATATAGCACTTCACAGTACTTTTCAGCCTCTCTCTAAGCGGTTTACAGGATCAGCATATTTGCCCCCAACAATCTGGGTCCTCATTTTACCCACTTTGGAAGGATGGAAGGTTGAGTCAACCTTGAGCCAGTCAGGATCGAACTCCTTGCTATGGGCAGAGTTAGCCTGCAATGCTGCATTCTAACCATTGCACCACCATGGCTCCTAATGCGACATCCAATCAGCTACATCAGTAGCCAATAGACTTATATACCGCTTCACAGTGCTTTACAGCCCTCTCTAAGCGGTTTAAAGAGTCAGCCTGTAGCCCCCAACAATCTGGGTCCTCATGTTACCGACCTTGGAAGGATGGAAGGCTGAGTCAATCTCCATAATTTGGGGGAATGAAATCACTGCACCATTAAAACTCACACTTTTCTCCAATTTTTGGTGTTCATGTTCTGGAGCTGCCACCACATCTTCGGGCTAAAAGACAGAAAGTAGGCATTGGAACAGTTGATACATGAAATCCATACCGGACCTCCTTACAATCCAATTTAAGAATACAGAATTCGGAATAATAAGAGTTGGAAGGGACCTTGGAGGTCTTCTAGGCCAACCCCCTACTCAAGCAGGAGACCCTATACCATTTCAGACAACTAGGAGACACAGCTAAGATCACCAAGAGACACAGTTCAGCTAAGAGACACAACTAAAAGTTGTCACTAAGAAAGAACTAAGGTCACAACTAAAATGTAAAGCAATCAGAGCACCTAAACGCCCCCCACCCCAACTTTTAAAACCCCAATCTAAATAACATTTTAAAGAGTGTTGTGCAAACAGGGGCCATTAAGAAATTTATGCATTTTGGATAGGAATCTCTGTCTTTTTCTAGCGAGGGAGACGAGACTGTTCTAAACTGATTTCTGTCTATAAGAAACACAAAGTAAAATAACAAAAAACAGCTTCACCTTTTTCCTGACACAAGCAGAAAAGCCACTCTTTCAAGAGACCCTCTCTTTTTTAAAAAACAAACAAGTTTTATTAATTTTCCAATTTTACAAAACTCCCAAGTGTTAAGGAAGCAACATGGTGATTGGGTAATCCATAATCAAATAACAAGCTCTTTCATACATATGTCAGGTTACATCATCAAAAATCTCCTATTTCCCGTGGTTATTGTATCACATTCAAATTAATACATTGCTAGTTATAACTCAGTCGGTTAAGACATTTATCAATATAATTTAACTTACCGTATACGCCTTCGTGTCCTGTTTTTAAATTTTACCTAATTTCAATTACAGTATTCCAGTTAGCTTAACATCCATAGTCTTTAGATTTCGGGTAACCCAAAGTTCCCTTAGTTCATTACAAAATAATTGTCATATCTAAAATACATTTATTATTTACTCAGATAATTTTTTACTTTATTTCACAAACATATCCTATTTCTCATCCTAATACCTCATCACTCACTAATAAAATAACCTTTATCGTCTCAATCCAACTTCTATATTATAATCCAAGACTATTATTCTAGTGACTATTTTTTTTATTTCTCTTATAGATCTAAATCCTAAATATTAAATCAACTAGTATCTTTTAAAATCTCTAAGAGATCCTCTTTTAAGAGCTCTCAGAAAGAGGCAAGATTTGCTAGCCGGCCTGTAGAAGGCTTCACATTTCTGGACAAAGGTTCCATAATCATGTTCATAGTCATTTGAAGGCAATAACTTGGCTCGGGATTGGGCTACTTAAAGGACAGTTGAGGATCATCTGAATCGCTTTAATCGTTGTATGTTTTTAACTGCCCAGAGTCACTTGCTGTACAAATCAAGTCAATAAATATCACGATTTGTTCATCACAAAGAGAGGAACAAAGAATCCAGATACCTTGGCTCTGCGGGCAGAGAGGCGATGGATCAAGGTTTGCACTCGCTCTACTTCAGCAGATGGTTCTTCAGCTTCAGTCTGGGACTCAAGGCTTTTGGTTTGGACGTAATGTGGATGCTCCTGCTTGGACTTAACCAAGTTAAGTAACTCTCTGCTCAGTTCTTGACTCTTAGAGAGCTACAAGGGAGAAAGCGGATGAATGCTGTGATCTCACCCACTTATTCACCCATCCCAAATCGTTGCAACTTTACAAGATCACTGTATCTTGGAGATTTCAATGTTCTCTTGTGAGATCATGTAAGACAGAGTACATGATTGATGGGGGTATAGTCTGCTTCAGTTTGGCAAGATTCTGTCTATGGGTGAGGAACAATAAAGAAATCTGTTTGGAAGAATCACTAAGTATTTTTCTTTGTTTTGGAAATTTGACCCTCCCTCCCCTCCCATCCTCCTCCCTCCTATCCTGCCCTTTCCCTTTCTCCTTCCTTCCTTCCTTCCTTCCTTCCTTCCTTCCTTCCTTCCTTCCTTNTACTCCGGTGGACCAGGATCCAGATCCGGAGAGCCCAGGGACCGGATTTGTTCACGTTGCATCCTATCACCAAGCAAGCATGTTATTGGCCGCTGGCCTACAGTCTCCACTCCAGAGATCTTACGTCAGTACCAGCAACATTAGTAAAGCATCTTCCAACACCTTGCTAGAATTTAATTTGCCTGTCCGGTTCCCATCATTGAGATGGGGGAGGGGGATGCTGAAAGTTCCCTTCCCTTGATGAGGTCCATGGGACATGCCTGGGGGAGCAGGACTGTCCTGAAATAGCCCCCATTCTATGGAATAATCTCCCTCCAGAAATATGTACAGGGTCTGGCAAGGCAAGGTATTGTATATAGGGAGCAAACCTCATACTTGCACTGATAATGTTACCTAGTTGGGTAAGAAAACCAAGCAACCAAGACTCCATAGAGCCAGGTACATAGAAGATGCAAGTCTTGGGTCTCAGTTTAGGTTCTGCTGTGTGCTGTCCTCCAGCTTGGCCCCTTCTCTTACCTGTAGGCAATGAGTAGACCCTCATGCTTCTTGACCAAATTCTGCATGCGTTTCTTGTAGCCGCGAGCAGCTCTAGCTAGCTGTTCCTCCCGAGATTTATAGGAAGCCCGGATGTCTTTCAGCATGCTGTCCACAAAATGCTTCATTTGAGCGGGTTCCTTTGTAGCAGCTGACGATTTACTATCAGTGTACTCCTTGAAATACAAATACATTTGGTGAGACTACAGAATGGGGCACCCTAGCACTAACTGCTTAGTGCTCTCTGCTCAGTTCATTCATTCATTCATTCATTCATTCATTCATTCATTCATTCATTCATTCATTCATTCATTCATTCAACTTTTATCCCACCTTTATTATTTTGCAAGTAACTCAAGGCAGACAATATATCTAATACTTGTTCCTCCTGTTTTCCCCAAAACAACCTTGTGAGGTGGGTTGGACTGTGAGACAGACTGGCTCAAAGTCACCCAGCTAGTTTTCAGGCCTAAGGCAGGACTAGAACTCACTGTCTCCCAATGACTGGCCCAGAGTCATCCAGCAGGCTTTCGGACATAAGATGGGACTAGAACTCACCATCTCCTGGTAATTGGCCCAAAGCCAGCTTTCAGGCCTAAGGTAGAACTGGAATTCACTATCTCCTAGTGATTGATCCAAAGTCACCCAGTTTAGCTTTCATGGCTAAGGCGGGACTAGAACTCCCATGTTTGGTGATTGGCCTGAAGTCACCCAGCCACCCATGCCTAAAATGGGATTAGAACTCACAATCTCCTGGTTTCTAGGCCGTTACATCGAACTGATTTCCAATTCTCACCACCCTCCCTGCAGTCTAATTTGTGCCTTTGTGGCTCGGCTTTCAAAACGTGATGAACAGGTGCAAAATGGGGATAGTTACCTACTGGTTCCATAACACCCAAATGTGGCTGTTTTCTTTTGACTCTGACAATGTTTGCGTTGCTGTCAATTCGGGTTGCTTTAATGGGGGTGAAGCAAGTTTAAGAGAGGCATCTGGATCGACCCCCAGTGAGAAAATGCTTACCGCCAGATCTGTGATGTACTGAACAAGGCGCGAGCGGTATTCCTCGTTCAGCTCTTTGAGTTGTAACTGTAGCCTGGAATTTTCGGATTCAACCTCTTGAAGCTGGCCTTGAGAGGACAGCAATATCTGTAGCCCAAGGAGAGAAAAATGTACAGGTGGTCCTCAGTTTAATGACCAAAATTGGAACTTGCTTTAAGACAGTGATGGCAAACCTTTTAGAGACCGAGTGCCCAAACTGCAACCCAAAACCCACTTATGCATCGTCGGGTGCCGGGTGGATGTGGCCCATTGGGGGGTGTGGCTGCAGTGCTAACGGCAGACTGGGTGGGACTAAAAAGTTCAATCAATCAATTCCAACTTTGCAAGATCTTTTTTTTTCCCGCGAGAAGTTGAAATTGATTGATTGAACCTGTTTTGTTTTTTTTTGCACATGGCGGCGGAGGCCTAAAGTGAAAAGGTTTTATAAAACCCAACTGAAGGCCTAGGACTGGGGCGACGGCGCACGTGCCCACAGAGAGGGCTCTGCGTGCCGCCTCTGGCACTCGTGCCATAGGTTTGCCACCACTGCTTTAAGGAAATGGAGACTGGTGCATCCACATTCCCAAGCGCCCATATGCCTTTGATTCTGGAGTGCTGGAATATTCTTTGTTAGATGGATAAAGTAATAAAGGTGGAATGAAAAATTTAAAAAAAAACGGAAAGAAGGAATGGAATGGAGTGTCTTGAAAAAAGAGCTCGGGGCACTGGCTCAACATATATATTTCAAGCCCTGCTTGTCTCAACTAAAAGCCACTGATGGGTTTGTTTTCCTCCAAGGGCTGACATATTTTTCTGAAGAGCAACAGAGCTTGACAGCTATCAATCTGGGTGCTCTAACAAGAGATAAAATGAAGAAAGGGTCCTGCATAGAATTATTTCTTTTTGTTCATTCTAGAGCAAGGGGTCTCCAAACTTGGCATCTTGAAGACTTGTGGACTTCAACTCCCAGAATTGCTGGCTGGCTGAGGAATTCTGGGAGTTGAAGTCCACAAGTCTTCAAGTTTGGAGATCCTTTGCTCTGAAGCTATTATAGATTGAAAGTCATTGATGGATCTCTAATTCTAGTAATGGGTGATGAAGCCAATTTCTCTTTCTTCCTTCCTGTAGTCCAGGCAAAAAGCACAACCACGAGTACTAGTGCTATCTTTATGGTACGGTTGCATTAACAGTACCCTTCTCTTCCTTCTCTTTTACTCTCTGGAAAACCAGGGAGGGGCCCTTTTGAAATGTCCTCCACCCTCTGCCACCTTCTCTGGGCTGAGATACCTTTTACATGGGGGTTTTCCAGTCTCTGACTCCCTCTCCTGTATCCCAAGGCCATTCCCACACACCATTACCCATCCTTGCTTTGGATTTTGCCTACGAAGCAGAGCTGAGTGATTCTCACCACCGACTCTTCTGCCAGTTTATGCTGGGTGTTCCGAATTGCTTTCTTGGCTTCCTGCAATTCTTTGCCCATGGTGATCCTGAAGAGACCGAAAACAACACAAATATTGCCATTTGCCCTTTATTGTGGGTGAGTTACACTTCATTGGCCAGAAGCTCTGTTTAACGCTTTTGGGCAGATACAGGCGATAGAGAAATTACGCAAAATTAATGAGGCCTCTCTTTTCTGGCACTTGCCGTTATTTAGAGGTAAGGCTGTATTTCCTTGTGTCAAATCGTATTTTATTCTTAAACTGAAACAACAATGTATTTCATTCCTCCAAATGTCAGGATACCAAGGTTTGGTATCTGGGAAACTCTGGATTGTGCCAAAAGAGGAGTCATATGAGATCCTGAGAACACAGGTGCTACACTTTTGTCCCAAAGATGCTTTTTCAAACGGCAACTGGACTTTGTTTTTCCTTGAGGATGTTTCACTTCTCATCCAAGAAGCTTCTTCTGAAGTCAGAACTAAAGAAGCTTCTTGGATGACAATTGAAATGTTTTCAAAGGAAAAAAAAACCCCAAGGAAGTCCCATCGCCTTTTGAAAAAGCACCTTTGGGACAACCATGCCCTGGATGACTGAGAATCTCCATAGACAGGTGCTACGCTCTTTTTTCACGTGATCTTGGTGAGAAGGACCACATCTGGCTCATTCTGGTTCCTTCTTGTTTCCTGTGCAGTATGTTTTTAACCAGATCAATGGATGGGCAGGAATGATATGGCTGCCATTCACGTGAAAATGTGAATCTGCTCCTTCATTTTTCAAGGGTTTGGAATAAGAGATGTCCAGTGATCATGACTCAAAGCCAATCTCCTCTGCCTTGGACCCCACGTTTGAAACCTGCAGCCAGATGAGCAGATCTCCACATTGTGTAGCCAACGGTTGAGCTTTCTCTTGCCTAGTGATCACATCTCCCCACCTTCGACATTCAGGAGAGGTTGGCAGGAAAAGGATATTAACTGAAGTATTTGAGAGATGGACTTCCAGAAAGACCAGCTGTCCAATCCCAATCCATAACTCTAGGAAAAAGCTAGAATAACATCTCTCAATTCCATCTCTAGGGCTGCTCTCCGTGGTCTTGAACTCAAGTTCTCTTGCTTGCTTTTTTTTGTATTGCTGACTCTTTTTATGGTTCTTTTTTTTATTAAAAGTTTTAAATAATTTTCCATACAATATCCCACTTCTCTCCCACCCCTCCCCCCCTTCACTTCCCAGAGCTGGTTACAGGGTTATAAAAACAGAATCATAAATTAAATAACATTACCCAGATATACTACAGTCAAGTCTCATCCACACATACTTTAACTCTACAAAATAGATAGATCTTAACACTTAATAGATAGATCTTAACACTTTTCCAGCAAAATAATAAACATTATTACTAAAAATAATATAAATTCATCCATAATAAACTATTAATAATATTCTAAAATTTACTCATAAGCTAAGTAATACTTTTCAATCTCGTATTTTTTCTGAATATAATCAATCCACCTTCTCCAAACCAAAATATATTTTTCTTGAGATTGATCCTTCAAATAAGCGGAAATTTTTGCCATTTCTGCTAAATTAGACACCTTAATTCTCCATTCTTCCATAGTAGGCAAAGAATTTTTCTTCCAATGTTGCGCTACCAGTAATCTTGCAGCTGTTATAAGATTCAACATCAAATTCATTTCTTTAGCATCCAAATCTTCCATAATACCTAACAAAAATAATATTTTTATGGTTCTTTTGAACTGATACCTCCTCCTCCTTCATCATCACTCCCTCCTCCTCCTCCTCCTCCTCAAGTTGGGTGAAGCATTTGAGATGTCTACCTATATTTTCCTGCTTTCTTAAGAGAGCACGTAAAAAGAAGGGGATGACGTATAATGATTAAAAAGGAGGAAGAGGTCACAGAATTATAACAAATATCATCTTGTCAATCCTGGGACAGAAAGAGAAGTCTCTGGATATGCTAAGATAATGCAGCACAAAGAAAATTCCTTTAGCTACAGGAATTTGATTTGATATGTCAGCAAGTTTCCAGTCTTTGAATTTCTTAAAATACTTTGAAACATTGTGGTCCAGTGTGTGTTAAAGGATGAAGAAGAAACTTATGACAGAGCTCTCCAGGCATCTACCTTAGACAACGGTTTCCACTGTTTATCTTCAAGAAAACAATTGGACAGTTCAATGTTAGAATGCCATAAAAATCTGAAAGGCATAGGGTGCTCAGTTGCTTTAATAGGACTTACGTATGTAGAGGTCTTACTCACATTCTCTCCTCCAATTTCTGTTGCTGGGAATTGTACATTTCTCTCATTTTTTCCATCTCTTCCGTGATGTGACCTTGGTTTCTGAGCAACTGTTGGAGAGGAAAACAGCAATCAGACAGAGCTATGCCTCTTCGTCACTGTTCTTCCTGAATATTTTTCTGTCTGATTAATTTAGAGTATAATAGCAATAGCACTTAGATTTATATAGCACTTTACAGTACTTTTCAGCCTCTCTCTAAGCGGTTTACAGGATCAGCATATTTGCCCCCAACAATCTGGGTCCTCATTTTACCCACCTCGGAAGGATGGAAGGTTGAGTCAACCTTGAGCCAGTCAGGATCGAACTCCTTGCTATGGGCAGAGTTAGCCTGCAATGCTGCATTCTAACCATTGCACCACCAGAGCTCCTAATGCGACATCCAATCAGCTACAGCAGTAGCCAATAGACTTATATACCGCTTCACAGTGCTTTACAGCCCTCTCTAAGCGGTTTACAGAGTCAGCCTCTTGCCCCCAACAATCTGGGTCCTCATTTTACCGACCTCGGAAGGATGGAAGGCTGAGTCAATCTCCATAATTTGGGGGAATGAAATCACTGCACCATTAAAACTCACACTTTTCTCCAATTTTTGGTGTTCATGTTCTGGAGCTGCCACCACATCTTCGGGCTAAAAGACAGGAAGTAGGCATTGGAACAGTTGATACATAAAATCCATACCGGACTTCCTTACAATCCAATTTAATAATACAGAATTCGGAATAATAAGAGTTGGAAGGGACCTTGGAGGTCTTCTAGGCCAACCCCCTACTCAAGCAGGAGACCCTATACCATTTCAGACAACTAGGAGACACAGCTAAGATCACCAAGAGACACAAAGCATAACTCACTCCTTCATTTTACAGTCATCAATCACGTTCTCCAATTAGTTTGAAGTGTGAACTGTCCCTTCCGTAACTCCTCTGGTTACAGCTGACCTTGGCAATGCTGTACTGAAATATTGTTCTGGTTAACTATCATACTTTCCCACCCGCTATGCTAACATTGTCTGCTTTAACTCTAGAAGTGATATGCAGGCTAAATAAAACATGCTTGCTTCTTCATATATGGCAAGCAAGAACATCCGATGTTAGCAGTCTTGACATAAGGTTCCATAATCATGTTCATAGTCATTTGAAGGCAATATCTTGGCTCGGGACTGGGCTACCTAAAGGACAGCTGAGGAGCATCTGAATCGTTTTAATTGTTGTGGGTATTTTAACTGCCCAGGGTCACTTGCTGAGATGGGCAGCTGTACAAGTCAAGTCAATAAATATCATGATTTGTTCATCACAAAGAGAGGAAGAAAGAATCCAGATACCTTGGCTCTGCGGGCAGAGAGGCGATGGATCAAGGTTTGCACCCGCTCTACTTCAGCAGAGGGTTCTTCAGCTTCAGTCTGGGACTCAAGGCTCTTAGTTTGGACGTGATGTGGATGCTCCTGCTTGGACTTAACCAAGTTAAGTAACTCTCTGCTCAGTTCTTGACTCTTAGAGAGCTACAAGGGAGAAAGCGGATGAATGCTGTGATCTCACCCGCTGATTCGCCCACCCCAAATAGTTGCAACTTTACAAGATCCCTGTATCTTGGAGATTTCAATGTTCTCTTGTGAGATCATGTAAGACAGAGCACATGATTGATGGGGGTATAGTCTGCTTCAGTTTGGCAAGATTCTGTCTATGGGTGAGGAACAATAAAGAAATCTGTTTGGAAGAATCACTAAGTAATTTTCTTTGTTTTGGAAATTTGACCCTCCTTCCCCTCCCATCCTCCTCCTTCCTATCCTGCCCTTTCCCCTTCTCTCTCCCTCCCTCCCTCCCTCCCTCCTTCCTTCCTTCCTTCCTTCCTTCCTTCCTTCCAATGTCCCTTCCTTCTTTCCATTCATCCTTCTTTCCATCCATCCATATCAGTGTCCTTCCTTCCTTCCTTTCTTCCTTCCAATGTCCCTTCCTTCTTTCCATTCCTCCTTCCTTCCTTCCAATGTCCCTTCCTTCTTTCCATTCATCCTTCCTTCAATCCATCCATATCAGTGTCCTTCCTTCCTTCTTTCTTTCTTTCCTTCCTTCCTTCCTTCCTTCCTTCCTTCCTTCCTTCCTTCCTTCCTTCCTTCTTTCCATTCATCTTTCCTTCCATCCATTCATATCAGTGTCCTTCCTTCCTCCCTTCCTTCCTCCCTCCCTCCCTCCCTAATAACTCCCAGAATATATGCCTTATGCAGGTAGTAGTTTGTTTCAGTTTGGCAAAATTCTGTCTATGGGTGATGAACAATAACCTGTTTGGAAGAAACACTACATGTCTTTCTTGGTTTTTGGAACCTGATAGGTGCCTAGTGTCTGAAGCAGGTGAAGGATTATTCTTGAGCAGCTCATACTTCCTGTTCATGCTCCTTGCCCAATACAAGGTAGTTGCTCTTCAAAGCAAGGTACTCATTGGCCAGCTCCTTGTGGTCATTCTCCAAGGTCTGCAGGTGTTCCTGCAAAGCATCCCGTTCTCCGGTGGTCCTCTCATCATGGAGCTCAATCTCCAGAATACGGTTCTCCAAGCCCAAGATCTGGCAGAGTAAATCCAGAGAGGACAAAAACAGGCATGGATCAAGAAGGAAAGTAGATCCCATCTTAAATCTACACTTCCCATGATGCAGCTGTGTTGGGTGGACACAGAAGCCATCTGGGAGTGGGATCTGACCTAAGATAAAACATGGGGGGGAAAAAAACAAGTACCAGTTTATAAAGATGCAATAATTAAATCTCTTGATGGAAGATCACATACCAGATTCTTCAGTTCAAAGTTCTCGGCTTCGTGTTGTTCTCTCTTTTTGTTAGTATCGATCTGGAAATCGACAAAATCTTTGGAAATCTATGGATACAAATACACCAAGCTTACTTGGTACTCCTGGGGGCAAAAAAATCAGCAAGCATTCATCCTGTGCCCTACATGCCCCCTTGAAATCAAAACTCATGTTGTAGATGGCCCCAGAAGCAGCTGAACGTGGTCTTCTGCATGAGGGACATTTTTAATGTTTGCACAGGTGTCTGGGTTTATCTGAGGAGCCAAGTGCTTTGAACCCAGGAGAAAAGGGAAAAAAAACACTAACTGCTTCTCTGCATGTCTCAAAGCAGCAAATTTCTCTTCTTGTTACCTTGAGCTTCTCCTCTTCACTGCAAATCAGTCTGGAGGACAGGTCCGCCTTAGAGAGAGCCAATTGTTCCAGCTTTTCCTGCAATTCTTCCACCTTGCTGTAGAGCTTTTCATTTCGATCTTGTAGCTGAATCTGAGAGAGGAGAGAGGGAGATTCAGTGCTCCTGGAGAGGGCCTAGGTAGGACAACTCGTTGTGGCCAATTCCCCCTGGACAGTGGGACAATTCAATGCAGGATAACTCAAGAGAGGGACGAGTGAATTGCAGTGAGCCTCGTCTTGCTTTAGGTTTAAGCCTTCTCAAGTTAGAAGCCCTTGAAGCTGCAAATTCACTTGTCTCTGCCTTGAGTTATCCCACATTGAATTGTCCTGCAGCAATGAATGTCCCATGAAGAGTTGGCCGTGGTGGGTTGTCCCATTCCTCCAGGAGAAGACTTTAATTCTGACATCTTTCAGTGTAAGAAGAACAAGAGTGCCCTAAAAAGCTTCCAAGAACTGGCATTTTCAACTGAACTTCAGGTCCTACGTGGGTCATCTCTTGGTTGCTGGTGAGGTCCCAGACCTGGCCAAAATGGAAGTGGATGAGATCTTGAGGAGATGGTAGCTGTGGAGAGACGGTCTCTAGCCAAAAGAAGAATGCAGTGGAAAAGTTGACTGATAGAAGCAACAGCAGAAGGAGAGGAAGACGAAGGCAAAGTTATTGATAAATGATAAAATGCTAGATGCTTCCTTTCAGAATTAAAGTCACAGGGGGTATCACAATAATATCAGTGAGTGGATTTTCTTTCTCCTGGGTTTTGGGAAGGGATGTTTTTGTTATTGTTGTTGTTGTTTTTAGTATGTTTTTAATTTCTATCCCATCATATCAATGGTAAAGTGCACGATACAGGAAATATACAATCTCCTGCTGCACAGGAGCACCCAGCTGCCCTGCCAATTTTCAAACATTTGTGCTATGAAATCCAACAGCGAGTTGGGAAGAAACTTAAGAAAATGGAAAACAGGTTTGGATGTGGCAAATGGAGTATCTCTGATTTGCGATTAGTTTCAGTAGATGCAGATGAGAATTAGGGAGAAGATGATAGTGACAGATGATAGATAGATAGATAGATAGATAGATAGATAGATAGATAGATAGATAGATAGATAGATAGATAGATAGATAGATAGATAGATAGATAGATAGATAGACAGACAGACAGACAGACATATACATTATACAGAGGGAGAGAGAGAAAAGGAAAGAGACATGATAGATGATAAAGAGAATAAAAGATGATAGATATGAGATAACATAGTTAAAGATTATATGTATAGAGAGAAGGAAAGAGATGATAGATATATGATAGATATAAGATAGATAGATGATAGATTAGATAGATAGATAGATAGATAGATAGATAGATAGATAGATAGATAGATAGATAGATAGATAGTAAAATTAGAGAAAGAGGAGAGAGACAGAGACAGAGACGATAGGAGGATAGATCTCCCCCCCCCCAAATGGTGCAGAATTGCTTTGGAGGTTATATTGTAGAATAGATAGATACATTAGCTGCCATGGGCTCTTTGAAAGCCGAGTTTAACGTGTTCTCGGTATCTCTGCTTCTTGGACTGTGGTGATTATAATATCAGTATAATAGGATGGGAAAGCATTGATTTGAACCCTTAACTTTTTCATCCACTTACATTTTCATTGGTGAGGCACTGAACTTGCTCATGGAAAGTGCCGAGGCTGCTGTACTCGGGACCCTTGGCCATGGAGTTTGAGGAAGCTTTGCCTGTACGGAGCAAAATCCAGGAAGGAGCCGAAGAATGTTGTCTGAATGGCAAGGAAGGGCGTTCCCCCTTGTTCTGCCCGGTGAAGGAAGGGTTGCTATCAACTCCCGTTGCTAGCAGGCGTGTCTCTCGGCTTCTTAATAAGGTGCAGAGAGAGGGATGGACTTTCCCTCCACCAAGGAATACAGCCAGTTTAACAAACTCAAATCAAACTTTCTGGAAGAACGCTACCCAAAATAAAGGGAGGTGAGGTAAGATTGTCCCAGAAAAGGGCTGAAATGTGATTTCCCAGCACTGACTTGTCTGAATGACACAAAAGGCCAGGTTTTCTTTTCTTTAGACCAAACTTTGAATTTTGAGAGATGTATTAGGGATCACTCCCCCCCAAAAACCTCCAACAACCCTAGATTGGGGCTACAATAAATTGGGGCTAAACTGTTAGTTTAAAGCCACTTTGAGAGAATTTTTTGAAATGTTTGGGCAACTTTAGTGGAAGTTTTGTCTAAAACCCCTGATCGTGATTCAGGCTTTCCTTGTCAAACTAGAAGGGCTGAATTATCCATCCAGGTGATCTTTTGCCTCTGTTCTTCTTGTGAAAATTAAGCTGGAGCACCAGACATTTCCTTGTGTTTTTCAAATTTGGGAATTTTGAGATGTGTGCACTTCAACTCCCATAATTCCTCGCCCAGTTTGATGTTGTGGTTAAGGCGCTGGTCTTTCCTTCCTTCCTTCCTTCCTTCCTTCCTTCCTTCCTTCCTTCCTTCCTTCCTTCCTTCCCTCCCTCCCTCCCTCCTTCCTTCCTTCCTTCCTTCCTTCCTTCCTATTCCCAAGCAAAGGGGCAGGTTTGTTTAGAAGACAAGTGACTTTGTACCTCTTGAAGTTTGTTTTAAACTATTTCTCACCAAAGCACAGATCCCCTCCCCCATCCCCTTTGGATTACAAAGTCCCACAATCTTTTCTGTGTGTGTGTGCAGTTGCTCCCTGGGATTAAGAATTTGTTTTGTTTATGGTTATTGAGGACAAAAGTGTGCTTTCAAAAATGGATTGGTACTTTCTGATTTCTGGAATTTTTTTTTCTCTTTTTAATCAATAGGAAGAGACAGAACAGTGGGATTATTTTGCTTGGTCCATTTTTCATTTCACTTTTCCTTTCCGACTCCTTATATTAACCCTTCAGCTTTTGTTCCAAATCCACATATTTTTGTTCCAGATCCACATATTCCCCTAGCATGAATGCTGCAGAGCTTTGAACGATATCAATTAGTAAGTGGGCAATGTAATTATTTTGGTGTAATATGGGGGTGAAAGCAATTATAGTTACAGCCAAACTGTCTTACAATGGAAGGATCAATGAAATTGCAGAATCAAAGCTAAATCCAGGTAGTTCTGAAAAAAGTGACTTAGGATAGTTTTTCACACTTGCAACCGTCGCACCATTCCCCTTGGTCACGTGATCAAAATTTGCAGGCTTGGCAACCGGCTCACATTTATGACGGTTGCAGCGTCCTAGGGTCATGTGACCTTCTTTTGTGACCTTTTGACAAGCAAAATCAATGGGGAAGCCAGATTTGCTTAACAACCGTGTTACTGCCTGAGCAACTGCAGAGATTCACTTAAGAACTGTGGCAAGAAAAGTCATAAACTGGGGCAAAACCAGTGGTGGGATTCAGCCGGTTCGCACCACTTTGGCAGAACCGGTAGCTAATTTTTGGTTGCCCAGGCCCAGAATGGACTTCCAGAAGTGGCATCCATGCAGAGAACCAGTTGTTCACATATTTGAATCCCACCACTGGGCAAAACTCACTTAACAAGGGTCTCACATGACAACAGAAGTTTTGGGCTGAATTGTCGTTGTAAGTCAAGGACTATCTGTACTGGTGGAGGGCGACATTTCTCTGAATATGCATTTAGCAATGTGCACATTGAACCAATGAGAGAAAAGAAGGCTGCCAATGGGAAAATAAGGTTTCCCACCTCTCTTTAAACCCCACTCCACTTCTCAGTGTCCGTCACTGGTGACCTCACCAAGCTGCTCTCGGCTGGCATTCAGATCCTCCTGACCAGATTCAGAAGTCCAATTCGCCAGTAGATCACTAAAGTCTGGAGGATTGCCACTTGGGGTACCTATGGGGCTGAGCGTTGGCTCCCTCCAGAAGGACTGAGGTAGCTTTCTACTCTGCATGGGGGTGACATATCCAAATTTTTTCTCCAGCCTCATCAGTTTCTTATTATCAGGAGAGAGATGTCGCTGAAGACACTTACAAAGACCGTACTCAAAAAGTTCAGCCAGGGGCCCCAACTTTTTGTCTTTCTCATTCAGGGATCTCCAGAGCTGCTCAAAAGTCTTGTGGGGGTCAGAAAAGTCTTCTTCTTCATCATCATCAGTCTCCTCGGGCTGAGAAATCCTGGTCAGATCTGTGTAGGACATCACTCGTCCTGACAGTGGTAGGGAGCAGAAGTCCTCGTAAGTGTTGCAGCTGCTTCCCTCCACCCCTTCCTCACCTTCCTGCTCTTTGTTCTTCTTGCCGAAATACCTCTGGATGTCGTGGCTGATGCGTTCGGCAAATTGGAGGAGCTGCATCGTCTTTTTAGTGTTGTTGACGCTGGGGTTGACCTCCGTGGCAGCATCTTCGAGGACAGAACTCATCAGATCTTCTTCTAGGTCCATGTCTTCCCTTCCTTCCTCTTCTGTCTCATCTTCCTCTTCCTCCTCCGTGTCTTCTTCTCCAGATAAATACTGGAAGCTCATCTCCTGGCCAGCTAGGGAGGTCAGAAATGGATACTGGAATTCGGTGGGTAGTCTGAACTTGCTTAGAGTTTGTATCACTCCAGCTGCCATCTTTTTCCTCTTTGCTGTTCAAATGCTTGAATTTCTGGATCAAAGAAAGGCCAAGAAAAAGTGGGAGTCAGCTGCTGGAAAACAAAGACACAATGAGACTAGTTCCTATCAACACCGTCACTATCTCTTTCTAGGGACAAAATCCTGGAGACCAGGATGGGGCCACCAAGAAAAGAAAAGAAAGTTGGTTGGCTTGTAAACATCTCTAAACTGTCTTCTTGAGATTGAAACAAAGTCAACGTTAAACAACAATCCCACTGAACAAACCCTTGAAGAAATGGGCAGAAAGGCGACATTAAGTGGATCAATTGCTTTACAATACCTTGGTAAGACCACACCAAGAATATTGCATCCAGCTTTGCTTGCCATGATAAAAAAAAGATGTGAGGACTCTGGAAAGTAAGCAGAGAAGAGCAATAAAGATAATTAGGGGGGTGAGAACTAAAACATATGTGGAACGGTTGCAGGAATTGGGTCTGTCTGGTTTAATGAAAAGAAGGAGGACTAGGGATGACATGATAGCAGCGTTCCAATATTTAGGGGCTCCTACAAAGACAAGAGGGTCAAACTGTTTTCCAAAACACCAGATGGTAAGACAAGAAACAATGGATGGAAACTAATCAAGGAGAGAAGAAACGTAGAACTAAGGAGAAATAGCTTGCCTTCAGAAGTTGTGGGTGCTCTATCACTGGAAATTTTAAAGAAGAGCTTGGACTCCCATTTTATCTAAAATGGTATAGGGTCTCCTGCTTGTGCAGGGTGTTGGACTAAAAGACCCCCAAGATCCCTTCCAACTCTGTTATTCTGTTAAAACCAACACTTTCAATATCAAAAATAGATCAAAGTCCTGGGTCCTAGAGCAAAAGTTGTATCATTTGAAAAAAAAAAAGCAAAATGGAGAAATAAGATTGGATTTATTTGCCAGCATCCTCATCTTTGCTAATAGCTGCCTTTTCCGTGCCATAATGGGACAGGAAGATGGGATCTATAGTTCAATACATCTGGAGGCCACCATGCCAGAGAGAAGCTGATTTATACTGCCCTCTGAATTGGGATCTTGTTTGCAGAACAGAAACGTTCCTTTGAGGGATTCTGGGTCTAGATCACATTCTTGCCATTGTCTCCAAGGATCAAACACCCTGCATAAAACGGGGAAAGAACCCCAATTTTGATCCCAGAAACCTAAAGCATATTTTTGTATGATAACTACAGCAATATTCAGTGTTTCTCCTCTGTGGGCTACCCAATGAGCTCCCTACACAAGGAAGATGCATATATTATGGAAAGAACCACATTTTGTCTGTATTGGGCTAGTTTACTATATCCAGAGAATCCTGGATGATGATGGTTTATTGGGGGGAAAATGACATTTCTTACGTCCAAACTGACTGTCTATCCAACTCAGTCTTCTCCATCTTAGACGTTCCACACACTGTAAGTAAGATGGCATTGCTTGAAGAACTGGTTGCACTAAAGCAGGGGTGTCTAACCTGGATAATTTTAAGACTTGTGGCTGGCTGGGGAATTCTGGGAGTTGAAGTCCACAGGTCTTAAAGTTGCCCAGGTTGGACACCCCTGCACTATATGATCCAGGCCACCTACAAATATTATTCTGAATGCTCCTTGCTGTCTTGTTCAGGCCCTGCAGATAGAAAATTAGCATTGCACAAGGCAGGCTAAATAAGGACCCGTTACTATTATGGTCTGTTCTGTTTTCACCTGACAAGTGCATTCTTTTCAGAAAGGTTTAGAAATAACCCACCCTTCTCCTTCCCTTCCAGCGTGAAAGTGACCCATTGTTTTGAGTCTTAAGAGTGCCAGGTTTGGACCTTTGCTCTCTCATTGCTCCTTGAGTTGCCTTGGAGCTGTACAAAATTCACCACTAGACCTATCTCGTGGACTTACTAGGAAGACCAAAGAGACATCTGACTCTAGATGCATAATGGAGAGTTAAATTAAGGACGTACCCCTCATTTTGCTCCAGTCCATGGGCCTTTAGCAAGAAGCCAGAGACTCAAAGGCCACCCCCCCCTGACCAATAATCTCCAGGATGCTTACCTGATCTCTGCAGGTAATCCCCTCTGCCTCCTTCTCTGCTAGTTCTCCGCCCATCCACCTGGAGCCAAAGTATTTATAGTGGAGCTGTAAGATTGCAGACTAGCAAATATTTGGAGCCTGCATTGTAATCGTAGACTCCGTAAACAAAGCTCGGGTTTGTTTTAGTGCCCGGCAACCGAAGAACACCGTCGACAAGGAGCCAGCGAGGATGGGTGATTGGGACTCACCTTTAATGGTGGACTTCCTGGGCGATTTTCAAGTGTTATGGCCGCTGAGTTCCCTCCGCGCTCGGCAGTTCCAGCTGCCGAACCGCCTGGCGCCCATCGGCCCTTATCTCTCACATTGATTTGGAGACCAAATTGATCCTGGTCAAATAGGCATAAAATTAAATTTCATGGTCTTTTGACTTCAGGAGTAGGAATCATCTCCAGAAGAAAAGTAATGCTTATCTAACAATTTGTGAGCAAACAAGAGATGCTGGCGCTCTTCTCTTCATTGGAAAAAGTCTTTTTCTAGGGAAATGCGAGCTTTAGGATACAAAGGAGGGTTGGAAGGACCAAGCTGCCGGGGTAGAAATATTGAGGTTCCTTTCATTTTAGATTTTAAAAAAACTGGAGGCCTTTATTAAACAGACCACAAAGGGAAATAACAACAACAACAGCAACAATAATAATGTTGGAAGGGACCTTGGAGGTCATCTAGTCCAACCCCCTGCTCAGGCAGGAAACCCTATACCATTTTGGACAAATGGCTGTCCAGTCTCTTCTTAAAAACTTCCAGTGTTGGAGCATCCACCGCTTCTGGAGGCAGGTAGTTCCACTGGTTAATTGTTCTAACTGTCAGGAAGTTTCTCCTTAGTTCTAGGTCAGTGGTTCTCAACCTTTTTAATGCCGCGACCCCAACCGGTCGTAAGTCGAGGACTAAACCGGTCGTACATCGAGGACTAAACCGGTCATAAGTCGAGAACTACCCAACCGGTCGTAAGTCGAGGACTTTCCCTGCCCAGGAGCGCAGCGCATGCGTGGTTCCGCCCCCTGCGCTGGCCAAGGCGTAGCTGGCAAGCGGTAGAGACAGAGCAGGCCGACCACCAGCTGGCCCAGCCCAAGGGAGGTAAGGCACCCGCCGGAAAAGGGGGAAAAAATGGCGGACAAAAAAAATGGCGGACAGCCTTGCTTGGCGACCCCCGTGAAATGGTCGATCGACCCCAAATGGGGTCCCGACCCACAGGTTGAGAACCACTGTTCTAGGTTGCTTCTCTCCTTGGTTAGTTTCCATCCATTGCTTCTTGTCCTGCCTTCCGGCGCTTTGGAGAATAGCTTGACTCCCTCTTCTTTGTGGCAGCCCCTGAGATATTGGAACACGGCTATCATGTCCCCCCTCGTCCTTCTCTTCATTAATAACAAAACATTAGAAAAGGAAAGAGTGAAAGAAAGGTATGGAGAATTTCTCCGACAGGCATGTGAACTTTTGAAACACAGCACCTATTGACCAAAGTGTGGTCAAAAAAGGCAAGATGGTGGTGGCCATGGGAACACTCAAAGCTCTGGCTGGCTTTTATGTATGACATGGCCACCATATTGCTTTTTTTTTTTTTTTGTAACCCATACTTGCCAATATCCCTGCAAGACACTTTCCTTAAAGAATTACCTTACAATAATATTGGTTTTAGAATTTCAAAAAAGCAGTCGTTTGTTTTTTTTCTGTTAGCTTATTAAAACAAGAAAAAAAAACACCTTGCATTTACCATTTTAATCCAGTTTTTCCCTCGGGGAGTAAAAGTAGTACAGTGGAGACTTCACACATAAGGTAGGATGATCTGAGATTTACTCACTGGTTCAAAGTCACTCAGGTTCTTCATGGCTTTAAAAAAAAAATTGAATGAGATCTTGCCAGCCCTATTTGACAGTTTTCCCATTTGCAACATCCTGGTAAAGTGAAAAAGCTTTACTCTCTTTGTTTGTTTGTTTCCCAACTTGATTATTTTTGCAAATAACTCAAGGCTGGGAACACATCCAACACAACCTGCCTCTTCCTACTTTCCCCACAACAACTCTGTGAGGGGGGTGGGACTGAAAGACAGTATGGCTGACCCAAAGTCATTCAACTGGCTCTTGTGGCTAAGGCAGGACTTGAACTCGCGGTCTTTTGCTTTCTGACATGATACTTTGACCACTCACACCCTGAAAGCATTAGAAACCAAGAATGGAGAAATCTTTCTTTAAAATACTGTAATGGGCAGATTAAAGAAACTATATTGTGCAGAATTTGCAAAAAGGCAGATTTTAGTAGATGTTTTAACCCATTTTTCCAAATGCACGGTCTTGTGCAACACGACCCTTGACAACTTCTGCAACAAGCCAGCTTTTCCTAATACGTTGTTTCAAGGCATCCATTTCTCTAATAAAAAACAAAGAACATCTGTCTGATTGGTGAGAGAGGACACCAACTTGGTGGCACGTTATCCATCCATCCCTGAAGGCAAAGACTCAACTCCTTGAGCAGTCCATAATGCTGGAGGAAAGTGGAGGAAAGAAGTAGAGGAACATCAGCATCAAGGAGAAGGAACTCATTTACAGCGGTGATGGCTACACCGTTGGAAATTCTGAAGGACTAGAGGACAGATCATCCTGGAAAGATCTGGGTGGTCACTTAGAGTGGACACTGACAGCAATCGGGGCGTGATGGCTCAGCGGGTAAAGAAAGCTGACAGCCCTGTTCAAGATCCCAATTCCATGCAACGGGTGAGCTCCTGTTCCTCGCCCCAGCTCCTGCCCACCTCGCAGT